CGGGGGGTGCACGGGGGTGCGTGTGTGCCCGCGCGTGCACACCGGGGGGTTGTATGCACCGGGGGGTGCACGGGGGGAGGTGCGTGTGTGTGTACGTGCGTGCACCAGAGTGTGCCTGTGCGTACATGTGCCCCAGAGTGCGTGTGTTTGCACACCAGGGGTGTATGTGCACTGGTGTGTGCATGCACGCGTGCACACCAGGGAGTGCATGTATGCACTGGTGTGTGTGCACACATGCATGCACTAGGATGTGTTGGCGCGTATGCACATGTCTGTGCATGTGTGCGCACACACGTGTATGCACCAGGGTCTACCCCTGCAGAGCAGACACGCACATGTACACAGCGGCACATACACACATGGGTGCACACACGTGTTTGTGTGTGTGCACTGCAGGGGCTGTGTGCATGAGGGGCTGCATTTGTGCACTGGGGCCTCTGTGTGTGTATGTGCACTGGGTGTGCATGTGTGCACTGGTGTCTGGTGTTTGCACATGCAGATGTGTGTGCACACTGGGGCACGTGTGCTTGTGCACTGGGGTGTGCCCATGTGTGTGCATGTGCACCAGCTGGTGTGGGTGTGCACGTGGGTGCCCCTTCACAGCAGGGTGTTAGTACTAGGATGTGTGTGCATGCACATGTGCAGCCAGGTGCACATGTCCCAGCTGTGGCCAGCTGCTGGTCCTCGCTCTGTTACCCAGCCCCACATGCTCCCGCCTCTGAAGCCTGGGGGGCAGGAGGGGTCCTATCTCGGGGGCCGGAGGGGTCCCACCTCCGACCCAGCGCAAAAAGATGTGGCATAAGAACAACCCAGAGGAATAAAACCACAACTGGCAGACAGGTGACATTTACTTCCAGCTGCTTTCAGTTTTGACCAAGTGGGGATACTCGATATGGCTTCATGAATAAAGTAATTACAAAAACATGGGCACAGCTTTGCAGCAGTTGACAAAGATAACGAATTCTCTCCAGATGAAGCTTTGAAATACACTCAGCTCAGAGGCTCACAGGCGCTTGCCCCCGTGGCCTGTTTTTTGGGGAGGGGCTTGTTGCAGTGGGTGAATTGCCTGGTGCTGGGCAGGAGCAGAGCAAATACACAGGGCGGATGCTGGCACGCAGCGGGCGAGAGCATGCCCAAAAGTCCTTGCCCAGTTCCCACGCTGCTGAACTTTGCCTGGGCACCAGCAAGGGGCTGGACCTGCTTTTGGGGCAACACTGTGATAAAGCCTTTAGTGAGGTGGAAAACTGTCCAAATCCATGCAGACGCTGTGCCAGATGCTATCAGAGTCTCAGCGGCTGTCACCCGTCAAGGCATGATACTTTAGCCAGAACATACATAATGAGTGCTGTAAAATGAGTGACCAGCAAAGCAGAGAAGAGCTGGGCCACAGTTACAGCCCATTCACATGATCCCAGCCCAGGGGCCCTTGGGGTGGAGACTCCCTGGGGCTGTGGGACCAGGGGACACTTTCCCAGCTGCCTGTAACAGGCACATTTGGATACACCATTTCTCACTGCCTGGCTGCCCAGGAGCTGCCACCACTCCCTAGCATCACCATGGAAAAAAAAAACAGTCTGAGGCAACCAATGGGTTCAGGAGCTTCAGCCCATGTGAACAAAGCTGCCAAAGGGGCCAGTGAGGCAGGTACTGGGCACAAGGATCCAGGCAGCCCACCCTCACCTCCCACCGCTGGGCTCTTCCACACCCTGCCCAGCTAGTCTCTGGCCTGGGTAACATGGGTGCAAGGGACAGTCTTTTATTCCCAGCACCACTGCTGTACAGGTGAAACCAACTGCAGAGGGAGGATTTTATCCTCACCCCATGCCACTCCACCTGCTCAGCTTCATCCTCTTTAAGGTTGCTCCAAGGAAACATCCGAGACTCCAAGAGCATCAGCTCTGCTGTGAAGCCAGCTCCTGCCCGAGCAGAAAGCCAGCCTGTGCCCACTGGCGCTGACAGCAGCAGGAGCAGCCCGAGTCCAGGGACTGGCTCACACCCTTCACACTGCACTGCTGGGCTCTTCTCTGGGCTGCAGAGCTGCTGGGACATTGGCATAGATCTCCTGCTGCTCCGGCAAGGACTTCTGCACAGTGGCATAGACAGCCTCTTCTTTTTCTAAATGCTGAGAAAGGGGTGGATAAACAAAAAATATCCTTTGCAGGGTTGCTGCAGGGCAACACCATCTGCTGGAACCTCTCTCAGCTGCTTTAGCACTCAGGAGCAGCCACGGAGAACTAGAGAGGGCACCCACATAACCCAGGGTCATTTGCACCCCAGCTTGGCACGTTCCTTTGTAACCTCCTTCCTACCCCCTAAGCCCATTCCGCTGCCCGTGCTGCTGCCTGCCCACCCCAGCTTTCCACTCGGTGCCTCAAGCTCGGTGCTGCGTTGCCTTCTCCTACCTTAGATCTGTGCTTGACCTCCGTGTACTCGGTCGTGGGGTTTGCCACACGGCGGAAAGCCTCGGTGTTGCTGTACAGCTGGCTCTCGGCTGTGCCCACGTGGTGGTTAATATCCACGTAGGTCAAGTCAGCTGCTCCCTGACACACGAAGGAGAGGGATGAGCTCTTAACCTCCTGCTGCTCCCCTGCCCGCAGCCCACAGGGCTGGGAACACCTCCTGTCCCACTGCCTTTCCCAAAGGGAGCTGAGATGTCTGCAGGAGCAGTGAGGGAAAACCTAACCTGCAGCAAGACCCAGCTCAACATTCCCCAGGGGAAATCTGGTTAGTGACACTGGTCCCTCCTCAAAAACCACTAAAAAATGCTTCCCAAGCAGTGACTGAAGATCAGCTGCCCCATAGCCTCCTCAGCTGTGCTTTGCTGCAGGTTCCCAAGGCTGTTTCACCCAAAGAAGCAGCTCCCATGCTAGGAAGGGTTTGGGAAGAAACCTCTCAGCTCAATCCTAAATTCCCTTCCTGGGAACATTCTGTGATAGTCACACAAAATCCTTGTTTGTGTTTTTCTATTGGCAAACAGAGCCTGAAGGATCCCTCCTCTAAGCCTCAAGGGCCATGAACCTAGCTGAGGTTCACTCAGCTCATGGTGTAGTGTTTCCCCTCCCCAGGTAAGCTTTGAGCATGCCATCCTGAGCCCTCATGTGGTTTGTCTTACTGTATATGATGTTCTGTGAGTCCTGCCCATCTCTAAGGCTGCTCCAGACATGGCTAGACATGAGTGAAAACAGAGAAAGAGAAATGCATTACAGAACTGCTTTGCCGCTACGAATCTCACCATAAAGCAGGGAGGGAACTTGTTGACCCATCAACTATCTGAACGGGAGCAGTTCTTCAAATAAAACCTGACATCAACTGCCAGCTGGTGACGTCCCCTCCAGTCCCTCCATGTTCTTCACACTGGCCTTAAACTCTGCATCAAGCCTAGTACAAGCCTGACCTACACAACTGAGCATGTCTGGAGAAGCTGAGGGTGCCCAGATGAACTAACAACAAATGGTTGATGGGCAGCACCCATCCAAAAGCTCCCATTCCCTGCTTTCCATAGGGATGAGACCTGTGGGATGGACCCACAGGTGAAGGAGACCTCCTTGGTCAAAGTCTCAGTGATGGACCGAGAAACTGGATGGATCAGGAGAGAATGGGGGGGAGAAAATAGAAGAAAGAGCAAATATGGGCTCTGGTGCAGAAAGTGTGGGTGCAGCAGTGACAGCTTCTCTTACCCTTCCTCCTCTTTTTGGACAGTATTACCAAAACACTGGCAGCAACTGCAAGCAACAGAAGAACCACTATGATGACTGGAATGAGGATATGCTCAGCCACAGCCAAACTGCAAGGAAAAAAAGTTTCTTTTCTTACACTTCTCTTAAGAAGTGGACTGAGGAAGAACCAGCATGAAGCAGGCGGACAGGGAGCAGCTGTGGGTGATGGGGCTTGCCCCAGGAGGAAAAGGAGTGAACAGGCTGGAAGCTGGGCACAGAGCAGAGCAAACTGGAAGCTGCAGAAGCAGACACTCAACTCTGAGAGCTGCTACATCTTCACTGTTTTAAGGATCAGTTTCTGCACCTAATTTTGTTCTGCTTTAGCTCCACTATTTGTTGGCCTTGTTATAATGGGCAAGTAGGCAAGGTCAGTGTGCCTGCTACTCCTTGAGCATGCTGATGGGAAGCCTCAACTCTGCCCACTTCCTGCGTTACATCCAAGAGGCACGAGAGGAGGAGGAAGCTCCACAACTTCGTTCTCGTGCTTTCTCAACTGTCATTGCCAGACTGCACATGACTACAAAGCAGAACAAGACCCAGCCCAGCACCTGGTTTCCCACGAGCAAACAGTCCCTCTGAGGTTTGAGGAAGGAAACAGGGTCAGTGTTGCAGCTGGAAACCATTTCTTATATGGTGAGAACCTGCACCTGCTTAAGCTGCAAGATAGACAGAGCACAAGCATGGTTTTGCCAGGGCCAAGAGACCAGGGGCATTGGAATTATTTGCCATGGAAAATGGCTTGGCCGAGGGCCTGGTCACTAAAGGCAAAGGCAGGGGGTGCAAAGAGCTCAGGAGGGCTGCAGGACTCTACAAGCTGCACCAAAAAGACCTCATGGAAGAAAGTGGCTGCTGTGGGTAGGAGCTGGTACTCACTGTGAAGAAGGACTAGAGTCTTCCTCCTGGGGGAGGTTGGATCCTGGTTGCAAAGCCCTCCCTGGAACACCTCCCTCGGGAGTTCTCTGTGAGGGGACTGATACAGAGCTAGTGAGATCAAGGTGCTTGATGGTTGGGGTATAGGGCAATGCTGGGGAGGAGGAAGGAGGAGCTGTAACAAAACAAGGAGAGGTTCAGTCAGTCTCCCTACCTCTGTGGGGGAAAATGCTGTGGGTTTTACAGTGAGTCAGAAGCAACCCACTTATTATCACTCCAGGAGAAGTTGGGTCCCCTCTGCCACATCCAGAGCATGCTTCTCAAGGTAGTAGGGCTGTAAAATCCGTTCCCTGCCCAGGAGACTTTTTGTAGTTCTGATCTCCCCCAAAACAGGCATACACACAAAACAGTGTTCTCCCTGCAGGGAGTGGGTCAGGGCACCTCATGCCCAGGCTGGTACTAAGACAAGAGCCCCATGGGGAGCCTGTTCCCCGTGAGAGGACACGGGGACTTTCCTTAAGCCCAGGGCCTGGTGCTCACAGGTACTGGCTGCTCCACAGTGGGAAAAGGGGCAGCACAAGGGGTGAGGAACACCCTGGTGTTATAAAATAAGGCATGGAGAGCACAAACAGAGCCAGCAGGATCTGATGGGGAAAATGGGGCACAGAGCACCCCAACAATGGAAGTGGCTAATGTTTGGGCAGTGAGAAAAATCCATGGGGAAGGGGTGAAGGTGGCACCTCACATCGTGGCAGTTGGCTGAGCCCTGGTGACGCACCCTAGGGCCTACAGTGTGGGCACCCACTTCTACGGCAGCCACTACTCCCAGTACGTGTAGGAGGGCACCCCAACACTGCACCCAGGGGACCTACAAGTACTGACCTGGGGACACGATCACCTCCACGACATCACTTTCATCATACCGGAGCACCTCCGTTCGCACCCCACAGCTGTAGGTGCCCGCGTCCCCCTTTTTCAGGTCCTTCACAGTCACCGTGAACACCCGCCGGGC